GGGGGGGGCACGACCCAGTGAATAAGGGTCCTTTTTCTCTCCTGCTCACGGTGTCGCTCCTTCCCGGGAGAGGCAGGGGCTTCCCAGAGAATGAGCGGGTCGAATAAGGGGTCCCGACGATGTTACTAATAACCAGCAGTAGGAAAAATGGCTCAACAGCAACCACCTGGAGATTCCCTNCACCTGGAGGTTCCCGCCTGCTCTTACTTTTTAGCCTACTCGGCTGGATAGACCCCCTGGTTTAGGAGAGGTTGAGATGACATTAGGAGTCCGAAACCTTTGCTTACAACATTCTTCAGGAGAACAGCCTCATTCTCATGCTTCTGACAACAACCGTGGTGATGAATGTGGGTCTTCGAAAGAATGAAGTTTCCAGGAATGTGTTCTTGGAATAGGTTTCAAAATTCGGTTTCACTGTGACCACCGGTCCACCTCCCATCACTTTTAGGTTTCTGACATCTTTTTTTTTTTTTTACACCCTCCCTCCCTAGAACCTCCCCAGTCTCCTCCCAGGAGGATACAGTTTTCCTAAAGTGAGTTGCCCAGATCTTTTACATTAAAGTGAAAGACAATTAGAATTTTTTTTTTTTAACAGTGAGGTGAGGTTGAAGACTGGTGGTTGGTTTGCTTGAAAGATAATTCTTCTGTACAGTATTTCTTTGCAGACACCCGGCTCTGAAGTGCAGTAGAGTCAGATTCTTCTTCATTTGCATAGTAATAGACAAGCTTTTAAGTTCCCCCATTTAACTGTCCTTTTCTGTGCAGATCTTTCAGGTTCAGATCCAGTTAATTTTTTTCCATATGCATTTTGTGATTTCTGTTGACAGTGTTCTTAGGAATCTCTAAGAACTAATAGAGGAAATAGAACTAAAATGTTAATGTTAGAGGGAAAAAATGGATCCTCCCCCCACCCTCCCAGTGGTGAATGTTTCCATTCAGAGCACAAACAATTGTATTTTTGCATGGAGACACCTCTTCTAATAAAGGAAATTTAATATGTTGCTTTTTGGACTCTGCTTGTAAGATTAGTAGGCATTTGTCACCTTTACCCCATAACTAGGGCTGGACAGGAGACCCTAGGAATCCCCCCCTTCCCCACATAAGTTAAGGGCTTGCCTTCTCTAAGATGCTGACAGCAGTTTTACTGTTTCTCACCCTATCCTTGACAAAAGGTGAAATCGGATCCTAACACATTGTCATTTAGGTAGAGATCCAAAGCAAATGTAGCTTTAAAAGGCTTCCCTGTTGAAAAGGAGACACTTTAGAAAAAAGCTCTGATCGGTGGGGGGTTTGTGCCCAAATGGCCCTTTATCTCCTCCCAACTGGCCTCTTTCTAACACCTTTGCAACCTCTTTGTGGAAACTGGCCTCCTGGGGACAGGGTTTTGTCTGGCAAAATGTGAAGTGGCTTCTCTCCTTTTTTGAAAGGAGAAGCACATACTGTATTTAATATTTAAATTCCTCTTCTTGAGCTGTACATTGATCTGCCACTTGCCTCCATCTGGGGAAATTAGGGAGAGTCTCTTTAATTTTGTTAGACTGCCAGCTTTTTTGGGGGTGGGGGTATACTTGTACAATAAAATCTAAGGCAGGTTAGGTTTTTGACCCTTAGAAAAAGATCCTGAACCTCACATTTTCCTCTGGAATTTTTTCATTGGGCCTGAAATTTTGTGGTGTTTGTTACCTAAAGTGCAGATTATATAGTCCACCCTTGTGGAATGTTGAGTTTTATAACTGTAGAGCTAATCTGTTGTTCAGAGTAAGGAAGCCTCACGTGGACATTAAGGGACCAGGTCATATGAGGGGGCTGAGAAAAGCTTATGCCTCTTTGCAGGAAAAAAATACCCTCCCTTGATGAAGGGATTGACTTCTTTCATTTGACCTTGGCATTTCCAGCTCAGTGCAGGCCTTTTCAGGACAGCATCTTATTCTATGAGGAACTTTTGAAGTCAAGTATGTATGTGTAAAAAAAAAAACCCAAAACCTAGTTTCAGACTTTTAAATTGCTTCTGTTGCAGCCGAAATTCTCCAAAGACATTTTTTAGTTTTGAGAAATTGCAAACTAAGTCCTGAAATGAGGCCTGTTGCAGCATTTCGAATGGCAGCACATATACTGCTCACAGGAGGTTGCAAGGGGTAATTTTACAAAAACAGAAACCAGGCCTCTTTCAGCACTGTAGTTTCCCATGACATAGTTTTTGTGCTTGCTGATAGAGAAGACAGTCTGAAAAGCGGTCCATCTTAAAGATTTTCTTGGAAACCTTTTTCTGCAGGAGGCTGCCTGCTCTTGGTTTTTCTGTTGTTCCTTTTTGGTAATGGAGAAAATAAATAAAAAATCTTGAAATGATTTGCACCAACTAATTTTGCCAGTGCCCTGGGAAAACTGTCACTGAACACTGCCCCCCTGGCAGCAGGCATCATACATCATGGGTAAAAGTCAAAAACCTAATCATTGTCCCCTCAGGGGGCTGGTGGAGTGAAACCATCTACGTTTCTGGGGAGCAGAGAGTGGCTCTGTCCAGGGAGACTCACTTCTCAATCATTCATGCAGCAAGTTTTTATTAAGCAGCTTGGTGGAGGGGAAAGAATTCTACACTGGGTTCCAGCTTTGCCACTTACAAGTTGGATGATCTTCATCTGCAAATTTGGGAATGGTGATTCTTCGCAGAGATTTGCTCAGTGAACCTAATGGAAAGAGTGCATGCATGTGACGGCACCTGTTAATGTGAGGCTGGGGCTGGGAAACGTGGATGGATGTGGTTGTTCTTAAATGGAGAAATATTCATTGAAAGCTTACTGCGCACAGCGCTAAGCTAGGTGTTTAGCGGATTTACAAGGAGGTATTCCAGCGCAGCCCCTTACATTTACAATCTGGAGGACGAGGTAAGATTGCACAGGTAAAACAGCTAAGTAACAATGCCTGCTTGTTAGAAGGCATATCTGGCTCTGGGAGCCATTTCACCAGGCACTTATAAGGCCCATTTAACATTATATGACAATACTGGCTTCCTAACAGCAAGGGCCTGGCACACGGCCAGTGTGCCCGCCTTGATGTTAACTCTAACTCGGCTCTGCTGGGCTTGGGCATAGTCACTGTGAACTTGGCAGACACACCAGCAGGTTGGTCAGACAGCTGCTCTGCTGTATGTGGCCTGGAAGGGGGTGGGGT